ACCAAACTGAGTGTGCTCGTCCTGCTGTGATGCTCACTATGCCTTAGGCTTTCTTTCTTCACATGCAGTTCATCATTCTCAAGCTTCACACACTCTCCCGACCCGGACCCCCCTCCCTTTCCTTGGTCGAACGTTCACGCACTGGGTTGGTCGTCCGCTGTTTGTCCCCCCCTTGTGGGCGACGTCTCTTGCTGTCGCAATGCAAACAAAGCCTGGGGATGCACCCCAACATCCCGAAGGTGCTGGCCATCAACAGCGCCCTCCCGTCTATGCCCATTCTCATGGAGTTGGGCTTCTGCGACACGGTGGATGTGCTGGAGAGCACCGACGTGCCAATGCCCCACAAAATGGGGTGAGTGCATGATATTGGTGGAATTATGCTTGCTATTGGATTTCTCGTGGAGAAGAAGTGCCCTCCGCTGTTGAGGGTGAACAGGAGCACGGCATCGTTGTTGTTGTTGTTGGTAATGGCGAGGATTGGCATGGCGAATGTTGAGGTAGGAGCACAACGTAGACAACACGGCGTGTTATCTGTGGATGTTCTCAACCATGCTTGAAGTACCACAGACATGATATCGAACATGAACACGCTAGGGTGCACGAAGGTGCGGTGAGGTGCATGCTGCCAAGGTGAAATTGAAAAATCGCGGTCAGCAGGGATGACAGACTCTAGCTATAGATGATTAAAAGCGTCTTTGCCCGGTCTGGCCTTGTCATTTTTCCGTATGTTTGTGCAGCATTCTCTACGATGCAGCGTGCGGCCTGGCGCACATTCACGACGACGGCATGATCCACCGCGACATCAAGGCCGCCAACATCGTTGTGATGGTGAATGAGGACGGCAGTGCGTCGGGAAAGGTGGCCGATTTTGGGCTCACGTGCGGTGAGTGCTGTTACTTTGTAACATAGACTGAACCATTCGAAACAATCGAGCGCTCGAGGTTTGGCAGCAGAACCAGTTGCAGCAGCAGCGTGTACCTCATCAACCACGCGCAATCGATGCCCAGCTAACTTACGGAGCCTTGAAATATTCGGGCTGCGGCGGTCTCAATGGCCTTGTCCCTACCCCCGACGCCCCTTGCAGTTGTTTGCGTCAAGAGGGGGCGAGCAACTTTATATGTGAAGAACCCTGGGACGGAGAAGCAGTCCGGTATTGCTGGGCATGCGTATTTCCACGTTCCGGAGATGCGTGTGTGGGACCTTCGTTCCCCGGTAGGACACTTTACTCTCGTCTGAACTGGCCTAGAGGCGTCATCCTCGGTTTTCCCACCCACGCCTGCCTGACAACAAAAAAGGAGCCCTCAAAGTGCCAGTCAGTATTTTGACGTTCATCGTGACAATAGTAGAACGCTGGACACCAAGAGGCTAAACAGGGGCAGGACAATACGAAGGCACCGGAGACCAATATTATGATGCTCCCAAGGTTCACAACTGACACACAGTACCAATCATGAATACGGGGCCGATCTCTTTCTTGCAGAGAAAGGGGAAGCGACATTCTGCAGATCTACATTCTGCTCACGGCTGTAATGCCCGTGGCACGCCCTCTTTCAATTCCTTCGCGACCGATGAAATTTCGACAAATACGACATGTTTTGGGGCGCAAGCTGTTGCACAACGCGCAGTGGTCATCCCGATCCTCATTGACAGATGTGCCTGTTCAGCTTGAGTCTCGCGGTTGCGTCCATGTTGCTCCGTCCTGTCCCTCGCTCGTCGCCCTATCATACACCATTGATCGTTATTCCCTACCACGACTACCCAGTTCTTGCTCTCCGATGACGAAAAGGCGGACTTCGCTGATCTCGGCGATGACAACGTTCCGGGCATTCTCCACCTACAGGTGTGTGTAGTCGGACCCACGCTAGCTACATCAAGCAGCAGGAACGGCAGGACAGACGGCCACCCACCCCCCAGATGTACCCAAGCGTACCGCGTATTTGTGTCGGTAATTCCACGAGGCACCGGGTTGTTCGTGACCAGAACACGTGGATAGGCCAGAGATATAGTAGCACTACGACCGTTCAAACCTAGATGAAAAACCCTTGCCATCAGGATCAGTACTACTTTTGTTTCCATGCGCCTTGAAGAGTAGGGAACAACAGATACTGGATAGAGAGAGGGTCAGAACGGTTTGTAGCGTCAAGACAACAGTGACACCACCATTATCCATGTGTAGGACAAATATCAATAATGCCAGCCCCGTGACCTCCGCCCCAGCATGGCGTCCTTGATCAACATGCTCAAGTTCCTCAAGGAGAACAGGGAGCCGCCTCCGATGGCAATGCTGTTGTGCATGTGAAAGACCGAAGGGCATAGACGATAATAACGTACACCCCACTCACCGTTTCGTTGACGTGGTGATCCACCACCCTTTGGGGTCAAATTTTATGCTCTGTCTGCGCCACTAACCCGTGTGTCACATTGATCAACATGTGTTCACCCCGAGGAATGAATGTTGGACACTCATGTATTGTACCACGACTTGGCTATTCTAGAGTGGCAGAAGCAGAGCGACAAGGCTAGCCAATCTGAATGGAAGAGAGGTGTTCGAGAGGGAGAGGGGGGGGGTTCGTGTGTGTACGAACACAACTCCACCTTATTCCTGCACGAGATGGCTGGAGTCGGTGCCTTCTTGGCAGCCGTGCGCCCATGGTTGATTTGGAGCAGTGTGATGATATTTGTGAATAGAAAAGTTGGCCCCGTTCCCGTGGACAGGGAAGGTGCAAGTGTCTGTCACAGCTACGCACGCAGGAGGAAAGTATCTCAACTTCACACCTCTGTATTTGCTGCAAAATCGTTGGTTCTTGCGTTTTCTACTGGGGAACTTGGCATGAATGCGCTCGGTCTTCGGAGTGGTGAATTGCGAAGAACAATAGAACCGAAGTTGGGTTGACGTTTAGATCATGGCATGAAACAGAATGTGTATTTACGTGTGTGGAATTCTCAGAGAGCGGCGGCG